ATAATCACAATTATTGCATTGAAAAGTGTTGCCAGTTACCGCAGCAACAATTTTTCAAAAGCAAGTAACACAATTTATTGATAAATGGCGCCCATAGCATCAACTCCACCCGAAACCAGAATTTTGTTCTTAATAGCCCCAGTTTACGGTACTGAAATTATTGGTTCAAATATAGGGGAGAGTGGGGCAAACCAGACCCCCTAACGGTTTTTCGACTCTTGTGACTAAACGAATCAACCGATTTAATTTTTCGATGGCTTGTTTGAAAGATCATTTAATTGCGCAACTTTTTCCCAGAGACACCTATACTTTATCTTTTATTGTTTAGTTGCTGCGTTAACTTTAAAAATTTTTGCAAACGGTCCCGTTTGCCCCACCCCTGGGGTAAACCGGACCCCCCATGGGCAAACCGGACCGTTTGGTTTTTTATTTATAATATTGCATTTACATAATCTACAATAATAAAAAACATAAAGAATCATGTAAACAATGGTTGTAGTAATGAAAATAATAATACGGGATTGAATTTTAATTAAATAAATATTTTTTTTAATAAAAAAATAAAAATGTTTGTCATTATCAGAGAAACAATATTAAAGGGTCCAATTATCATTGGAAGACAATTGTTTTTCATTGTAAGTAAATATTTTAATGAAAGAAACATTTTATTTAAAAATAATTTTTATGAAACTTTAATTCAATGGAAATATCCTATGGCCGGTTTGCCCCACCGAAAACGGTCCGGTTTGCCCCACAGGCCCATTTTGAGAATAAATGTTTGTCAAAAAGAAACGCTTTGCAAATTCATCAAAGTTTTTGGTGGTAAATATTCCCGAGGTGTGTTCCTTCAAAACCTAAGACCTAATATTTGGAAACATTACACGATTTCCTCAGAACTTCCAAGAAAATATTCGTAAAAGTGTAGAAAAAAAACTGAAAAAAAAACTTTTGCTCCCTTCGTTGCACAAAGGCAAGCTAAAACTGTCAGATTGAAAAAATAAGGTATACTAAACATGGTTGTTTTAAATTTGTAAACAACACTTTTTCCAATTTCGCCATTTCGGAAATATTGAGAGGGGTCCGGTTGACCCACCGGTCCGGTTTGCCCCACTCTCCCCTACAATTTATTTGATTTATATCAAACTTTTTTTATTCAAATAAATATTGCTTTGAAGATAGACAAGTAATGCTTCTTCCTATAATTATTTTTTCTTAATGAAACTAATTTTTTGCTATTTAAATTAATTTTTTGTTACTTAATTACAGTGAAACCTCGATTATCCGAACCAAAAATCATTCTATCCGAACTTCTGTTATCCGAACTTTTTCTTGACCTTCCGAATCTTAACATGTATTTTCTCTATTTTTTTATCATTCATATTTTCGCGGGACATTTTTAGCATTTTTCAAAGCAAAATAACGAAATTTATGCCAAAAGAATCTTAAAAAATCATGAATTCTCTGTTTTATTAATTTATTATTATAAATTAATAAATATTTACATATACAATATACTTCTATACCTTTAAAAAATGTATTAAATTAAATATATATGGGGCAAAATTTCTCAAGTGTACCAATGTCAAAATTGCAAGTTGTTGGATCGGGCTAATATTTTCACAGTATTTAGTACTATGTATGAGTATTTCAACCACCAAGTATTATTTATTTATTTATTTATTTAATAACATAACGGGACATGCCCTTTTATTATGAAATTTTATAACAAATTGTAGAGGGGGGAGGGGGTTGAAGATTTTGGATAAGTATGAACAGTGAGTTTTCTCAAAAATCGTAGCTTCTATATAATAAAGCAAAAAAAATTTTGACCTATATGTTTTTGGTAGGCTTTTTCACGCTCTTTCAAATGGTGAAAATTTTTTTTTAAAAAATTTAAAATTTAACCCTTTTTTTAAAATTAAAAATTTTTCTGATTTTTTTTTCAAGGACCCTTTTTTTCTCTTTTTTTGTACCAAAAGAAAGCTTAAGATGTGTACTTTCAATAACTAAAACGAAAAAAATGACGTTTTTTTTGTTTTCGAATTATTAATTAATTAATTAATAAAAATTGAAATATTTTACAACAAAATAAAGTTAACGCAATTCTGAAGTTACTACTGTAAAGCAGTAGTAACAAAATCCGCATCCAACGAGTCCAATATGAAATATTTTTGATAAATTGACGTTTTATAAATAAATATTTATAAAAATTAATTAACAAATGAAGGGACCGTCCATAAATTACGTAAGGCATTTTTCTTACATTTTGACCCATGCACCCACGTCTGTAAGGCTCCGTAAGATTTTGAACCCCCCCCCCTATCTTACGTAAGTTTTTGCTTAGGTATTTTTTACGAGAATTTACTAGTAGCATTGCAAAAAATTGTTTAACTAATAAAATGAATTAATAAACAAATGTTTGGTGTTTAGTGTATAGTTCTGTATTTCTTAGAATATACTTAATTTATATAAAATTTATTAAACATATTTTCCTTTGGTCAAAATAATAAATATTAATGCAGAAATTTAGCTTAATAGCTTGAGAATTTCCGAAATTTATAGAGTAGTGTAAGTTCCCAACGGGAAGTTGACAATGGTAACGATTGGTTCAATAATGGGCCATGCTTGGTGCCCAATGATTTTTTCTTGGCAAAACAATTGGCAACCATCATTGGACCACCAATGGTTTAAACTTGGGATGATCACGCTACTGCCAATGATCGGTAGCCAAGCATCGGGCCAATATTAGTTGCCAAGGAATTGCCAAGGAAACAAAATCGATTTTCAAAAGCTTGATTTTTTATTGGCAGCCAACAAAAAACCAAGATTATTCCCTCACCGTATCTCACAGTGGAGGGATAACTGTGAATGTCTTTGCAAGAGTGGAGCAGGTACTTATAGAGCCAGTGTAACAGGTCACAAGCGAGAAGAAATCACTAACATGCACTCTGGCGGCGCTTGTCGGAACTGTTTTCTGGCGCGCATGCATATCCTGACATTATTGACACAGCGCTTGGCAACCAACGTTGCGCCACTTCCGACAAGCGCCGCCAGAGTGCATGCTAGTGATTTCTTCTCGCTTGTGACCTGTTACACTGGCTCTATAAGTACCTGCTCCTCTCTCGCAAAGACATTCACAGTTTTCCCTCCACTGTGAGATACGGTGAGGGAATTTATTATCAGTCTTTCACCTTTGTTTTACCAGAGGTGAAAAATTTAATTAATATGTTCTATTAATTTAAAAAAATATATATTTTTGAAAAATTTTTTTTTTTTTAAATAAATTTTTGAAAAATATATTTTAATTAATAATTAAAAAAAATCAATTTTCAAAATCTTGGTTTCTTGTTGGCTGCCAATAAAAAATCAAGCTTTTGAAAATCGATTTTGTTTCCTTGGCAATTCCTTGGCAACTAATATTGGCCCGATGCTTGGCTACCGATCATTGGCAGTAGCGTGATCATCCCAAGTTTAAACCATTGGTGGTCCAATGATGGTTGCCATTAATGTTCCAATAATGGAACGGAGTTCGCCAAGCATGGCCCATTATTGAACCAATCGTTCAATTGGGTTGTAAGAAAATATATCTTACGTAAGAAATTCGTTTAACCAGGTACCCACCCATGTAAGTTAACATCATGAAGGAGTATAAGGAGGAGTATGTATATGCATCTCTTTTGACTGTACTTAACTGCGTAAAATCGCCATGCACGCAAATTCGCATACCGGAAATTTGTTCACTGATATTAGCGCCCCTACAGGAGAGAATATATACCCTCCATGCTGTCCATGATAAAAGTTTTGTTTACGTAGTTTTTTGGTTATGTACCAAGTTGATAATAACAATAAAATAAAAGTAATATGTATTGTTTTATAAAAAATTGCATGTCAAGTTATAAAGCAAATAAAAATGCTTCTGAAAGAAGTGTTTTTTCAAAGCACCAAGAATGGTAAGTTTATTTAATATACTATTTTGTAAGGGTAAAAGTTTTTATACTATTACCAACAGACATTTATGAATTTAATGCAAAGAATTTTTGGTTGTTCATTTGGAGTCCTTTCTATTTATATAACATATAAAACAATTTAATTCTGTTGATTTATTTTACAATACAATACTCAGAGGATCCTCTAATCTTAAATATCAATCAGCTGTCAAAGATAAAAATACTTAAAATGTAAAATTGCACTTATTTCTCCCGTTTGGCGGCGCTGTTATCAGTGAACATGAGGCTATTACTTTTCGCGTGCCTGTCGATTTTACTGCAGAGAAGTACAGTCAATATCAGTCAATTTTCCCATTGGAGATATGTCTCCTTATACTCCTTCATGATTAACATAGAAAAATTGTCCACCCACCCCCCCACCCAAATGACCTTACGTAATTTATGGACGGCCCCGAATATCATTTATAAAAATAAAGATAAAGTGTTAGTTTTTTTCACACAAATGTTTATACAATTCTAATTTTAAAAAAATGTATTCCAGTTATTTGCAACAATTGTTTAAATAAAATATTCATCACCTTATGCGTGCGTTGCGCTGCATAACTATATTCGCGGCTTAATATTATTTCACATTTTTTATAGAATATTTTTTTATTTTTTACATTTTTGATGTAAGAAAAGATGATTTCTTTTTTACATCTATAATTTTTTATTATTTTAATATTATTTATTATTATTAAATTATTTTGTAATTAATTTATTAGGAATTACGTAAAAATTTCTTGTTGATATTAAAATAATAAAAAATTATTAATGTAAAAAAGAAACTATCTTTTCTTACATCAAAAATGTAAAAAATAAAAAAATATTCTTTAGAAAATATGTCAAATAATATTAAGCCGGGAAGATATAAAATATAAAATAATTGTAGATAACAGACAAATTTGATCTCTTGCTGAAACTGTTAAAAAAAAGAGGGGTCAAGAAATAAGCAAACAAAAAAGGACAAAAGTCTTTAAAATAAAAATAATACATCATTCAAAAATGACTTACCCGGTAGACAACTGACAGCTTTTTCCTCATCCGAGCATTTTTGTGTTAGCCAAAGGTAATCAAACCATTTGATTACTTTGACCTGAAGATGATTAGGTACCCTCCTCATACGCATATACGTCTTCACTCCATCAAGTTTCGCTGCAATCGAATCAAACAACATTTTAATTAGCTTTATAAATTAAAATAACAAAAAATTTTTAAAATTCAATTTTCAAGAAAAATAATTTCACTTTTTACTCTTATAATCAACTTTGATAACTTTCATAATAATCAATTGCATTTAAGCAATTATGAGAAAAAAAATAATATTAATAATTAAAAGTTAATTAATTAATAATTCATTAATTAATTATACTTTTTAAATAAATAAATATATAAATTATTCGGATACAAATATTGAAAAAGGAGAGACAATATTCAGAGACAGAAATAAATAATAATAATAATAATAATAATATGCGTCGATGCCACGTCGCAAAGGGGCCTTTCCAAGGAAAAAATCCTTGCACTGGTGGTCAGAGAAGCTGGCCTCCTTGAGAAAGGAATGCCTCAAAGCAAGAAGGACATACACCTGATCTAAGGGAGATCCTTTGCTGAAAGAGGCTTTCAAGGAGGCAAAAAATAACCTCAAAAAAGAGATCCGCAAGTCGCGACGCCGTAGCTGGAAGGACCTAATCGAGGAAGTCGATAAGGACCAATGGGGTCTGGCTTTTAAAATCGTGACTAAGAAATTAGTGACGAGGCAAAAGACCCCCGGCCTGGACAATCCCGATTGGGTCAGAAAGATAATAAGTTCTTTGTTTCCTCCTGCAGAGCCATACCTTAGAAGGGACTGGAGTTTTTGCAAAGTCGAAGAGGAAGAACTCTTCACACTTAGTGAACTGCAAAAAGCAGGCAAAAGATTGAAAACAGGCAAGGCACCTGGATTCGATGGGATAAGTAACGAGATCCTAAAGTTGGTAATCGACACTTCACCCCAGATTCTGCTTCGATGCTTCAATCTTTGCCTTGAGAGAGGAGAGTTCTTCCGCGACTGGAAGCGACAGAGGTTAGTCCTCCTACACTGAAAAACTGTTAGGAGAGCTGTTCGCCCAATGCGGTGAACTGCTGCGTTAAAAAGAAACGCACAGCTCACTTTATTTTTGGGCGAGTTACTCTCCTTTTTGGGCGAGCAACTCTCCTTTTTGATAGAGCTGCTGACCTTTTTGTCAAGCAGCCGCTCGCCAACGCCATTGGTAGTCAAGTTTAGGAGAGCAACTCGCCTAATTTTGATAGAGCTGTGAGTTTAAAGTTAAGTAGCGCTGCACAACAGTCAATAGCGGAACTGCTCTACCAACAGTTTTTCAGTGTAAGGAAAGGTGAAAAACCTCTAGATAAGGTTTCACCGTATAGGCCTATATGTCTGCTAGATACGATGGGTAAACTTCTAGAGGATATGGTTCTGCAGAGAATGCAAAGCCACTTGACCGAAGAGTATCGTCTATCCGATCACCAATTTGGTTTCCGTAAAGGCAAGTCCACAGTTGATGCCATCCAGGCAGTTGTGGACATAGCCAAAGCAGGAAAAAACATGCCGCCCTACTTGTTGCGGATAATGGATAATTATCTTAGCGACAGGTGGGTTATATATGAGGGAGACACCTGCACTCTCAGGGAAGAGATGCAGCGTGGGGCTCCTCAAGGCTCGAGGGTGGGTCCATTTGTATGGAATGTATCTTACGATGACTTCCTGAGGATGGATCTGCCTGAAGGTGCGGTGATCATCGGCTTTGCGGACGACGCGTTGTTCGTGTGCACTGCCGAAAGTGAGGAGGCTCTTTGGACATTGGTGAACGAATGTCTGCGACTAGCAAAAAGCTGGCTGGATACCAGAGGTCTTGAAATGGCCCTGGAAAAGACCGAGGCACTGCTGGTCACAGACAGACGTGGTTATGAGCTCCCACGAATCGTGATAGACGGATTCGAGGTCAAGTGGAGTAAACAAATTAAATACCTTGGTGTGGAGTTGGATGGAAGGTTAAACTTCCACCACCACATGGCTACGGCGTCAAATAAGGCGATCGAATGTGCGGCTAATCTTTCACGGTTAATGCCAAATGTAGGCGGACCCCGTGAACAAAAAAGAAGACTGGTGGCGAGTGTAAAGGGCTCCAGAAGAAGGGTTACGGGTTTTAGTGGGTCGGGCTGGTAGTAGGTCGCCAGTTTATTAAATTTATTATAACATTTATTTATTTATCTTTTTTTTAATATTTCCTTTTGTTTCATTTTACCAACCCCACATAACCTTGGAGTGCGGAATCCAAGGTATCTGTAGGCAGATTTCCCAAAAGTCCCTAAGCAAAAAAAAAATAAATAATAATAATAATAATAATAACAAATAATAATTTAGTAATAATAAGTAAGTAAGTATTTATATTAAGTGAGTAATAATTCGCATGTAAAATGTTTTTTCACTAATAAAAAATGTATTTTTTTCCAAACTTTTATTTACTTAACATTTTGACAAGTGTTAGATATTATATAATTATCTCTTTAATATGTAAATACAATCATAACAATTGTCAACTTGCTTACTTTCGCTAATATAAGTAAATATAAGAATAAACTACTTATCGAAATGAATTTATCATTTATTTCAAGTGCCTAAGTGTAAAAAATGTCCATCAAAATAATACAATTTAAAAAGCCACGAGCTTATTTATTAAAATTGAAAATTTTAATTCAAATAAATTTATATTGCGCAAACTGATGTGTTAATATCCATTTATGTGTGAATAATTGTACAAATAAAACGAAAATTAATAATTCACTTTGACGCGTATAAATATACGAGTGAAGTAACTGAAACTAACAGCTGAAAGTGCCAAAAAATAAAGAAAAAAAATATTCACGCACTATGAAAAATATTAAAATTTATCTTTTTTTGGTCGTGTGTCTTTTGAGCATTGTCTATATTAATTGTTCTAAAGAATCTGAAAAAAGATATAATCGCAATCAAGTTGCAGGTATAATAGATTATTAATTTTTATTATTATTATTATTAATATTATTTATTATAATTATTATCATTATTAAAATTATTGTATTATTATTTATTTTTATTTTCAAAAAAAGTCAAAGAGTTAATGAAATTTACTACAGAAATTATTGTAAATATTCTTATATTAAATTTGATTTAATATAAAAATTTTCCACACTCATATATTCAAAGAGAAGAAGAATTACTCGAATGTAAATTTTTTATTTCTCATTTAATTTTAATTTATTAAATCATACTCTTAAAAGTACTATTGTCTCAATTTCCCGTCATTCTTTTATGACAATAAATTTTTAACATAGATTTATTATTCTCGTGATATGAAATGTAATTTATTGATAGCTATTGATTTTTATTATATTAATGACGCATCAGAATTAAATTAAACGTTAACTGGAACAATTGTATATTAAACCACAAAAATTTTGTATTTATTTTTAGCTGCCTGCACAACGACAGGATACAATCGTGAAACTAAAGAACTTGAATATTATTGCCATGGAACTAAACGTGGTAAATTGCCGTCATTGGCTGCTGCTATTGGTAAATAATAAACTAAATAATAATTAATATTTATAAATACATATTTTAGTTGTTCTATTGATTTTTGTGAGATTATTGACTTTCATTGAGAGTTGAATTTTAATAATTCCTTATCAAAAAATGGACCATAGGCCACAAATAATTCTCAATTTTATATTTGAAATTTACTGTCATAAAAAACAAAAAAAAATTTAATAATTAATTTGTTAGTTAATTATTCTTGATAATAATTATAAAATAAAAATTTTAATACTTTAATAATCATCTAAATAGATGTAATATTAAATAACAAGCTTTGTGACTATTTAATGGTAATCTTAATAATTATTTAATAGCAATTTATAATTAATAGTAATTTATAATTAATTATAATCTATCATTAATAATTAATAGTAATATATAATTAATAATTAATAGCAATGTATAATTAATTATAATCTATCATTAATAATTAATATTAATCTACAATTCATATTAATCTATAATTAACAACTGATAATTGTAATCTATAGTTTGTCATTAATTATAATTTTATTCGTAAGTAATAATAATCTATTTAATTAATAATTATGAGTAATTTTAATAATTTATTAAATAATATTTTTTTTAATTTACTGGCAAGTCAAGTCTTATGAAAGAGTTACTGCAACTTAAACGATAATAATTAATATTATTAATTTGTGTAAAAGTAATAAATGTAATAATAGTGGAAATTCTTTTACAGACGCCTGTTCGGAATGCGAAAGTAATTGTGGTTCAGTGATTGATTCTCGTTACAGATGTAGATAATAATCATTAAATATTTATTACGGAATGACTTATGTTTACGAAAAATAAACTTCAATTTTTTTATATTTACATAAACTATTATATATTTGAATAAATTTCTATCTCTGTATTAACAGTTTTGTAAATAATTTAATCTAATACAATAAATTTTCTGACTGATCGAATATTTAACTCTCTCGCTCTCATTATTTTTTTCTTATCATGATAAATATTTTTAATATATTATCATAAAGAAAAACGGAAAATTTTGTAAAAAGATATTGTAATTATAAAATAGAAATTATGACAATTTTTTTTTGACATTTATTTAAAGAAAATAGAATATTGTTAAAAATTGTGATTAACAAATAGAAATTCAAGAGATTCTTTTTTTCCAAAAGAAATCTTGGAAATTTGTAAAACATTCATAAATTTTTTTTTTTTTAATTCTAATAGAACTTGGAATTTTGTAAAAAAAATTATAATTAAAAAATAAAAATTGTACAAATTATTTTCTTAAAAAAAAAGAATTTTGTTAAAAAATAATTGTGATTAGAAACAGGAACTATGCAAAATTTGTTCAATGAGAAATATAATTATTATAATAATATATGAAGTAGAATTTATCACTCGGTCGAAAATTATATATGTGAGAAAAAATCATTCTTTCCGAGTCAAATAAATTGACTTTATATTATAATAATAATTAATATCAATTTATAATTATTATAGTTAATATTAATAATGAATAAAAGAAAAGAAAATTTGTTTTGAAATAAATCATATCAAT